TAAAACCCCCCCCCCCCCCCCCCCGAAACAAACAAACAAACAGCGGCGGTATGAAGCCTATATGCGAGGGCATCCCGTGCGTGCACGGCACCACAGCGCCATTGACCACGACAATGAATTGCGTGAATTTCAACAAGCCAAACGTCTCTACAAACCCCTATCTCGCGTGATGGCTCTTCGATTCCAACCTGCGACCAAGAACACTGAGCCAGGTCAGCCTAGTTTTCCCCAAGCATCTTCGGCCGGAAACAGATTATGCTTTGAATTGGCAATGGGCTCATGTGGCGGCGGGCCTTGTTTGCGCTCTGATCTGATCGTGGGAGAATTAGGCAGTGCACGCGAAGAGCTGGCCGAGCGCGAGGCAGAAGAAAGTCAACAACAAAGCGATCGCCAAACAGCCGTAGGTTTCCCGATGTCAACATACCTTGTGACAAGCGGCGTATTGGTCACGACGCGCTGCTTGTTGGGACCCTCAGGCAAAAATGAAGATGTTTGGGAAGCTCACCCGGCGTGAGGTTGAGTGGCATCCCCATCGCCTTCTCTGCCGCCGTTTCAACTTGGCAGACCCCTATCCCAAGGTAAGATTCTGCCTTTCATCGCCCAGACATTGCCCCTGTTCTGGGTTAGCATTTGGGCAAGCCATTTCTAGATGCTAATGCTGGAACTCGGCCATTTGGGTGCATCACCCTCGCACACTGCCCGATAGTCTGGCATTGTTGGTGTCGTTGCAGAGGACCAGGACCGTGGAAATCGCCGAAAGAGTCGATGGGATGATGTCGGCCGTTTGGATGCGGACACGTTGGTCGCTGCCGGCTTGACCGCAGCAGCCTCAGCCGAGCAGACTCGGCAAGCGCAGGCCGATGTGCGTCAAGATCAGACGGCGCAGCAGGCTCAAATGCGCGAAGCCCCTCCGCAGCCGGCTCGTGCCGCGGCACTCTCCTCAACTGCCGAGCGAGAGGCCATCGAACACGAAGCCCAGGCAGAGCTCGAGCGCTTGCCACCTCGGCCCGCGGTCGATCTTTTTGCTGCTGTCTTCGATGCCAGCTCCGATGAGGATGAGGATGATGACGAGGACACTGTAACTGAAGCAAAGGGCAATGAATTGGAACAGCCACAAGTGGAATCGCAGGCACAGGTTCAGGCACCAGCGGCAGCTCAACCTTCGGCACAGCAAGCGGCCAGCGGTGGAGGGGGACAAGGCCTAGAGGTGACTGCAATTGCTCCCAGCACTAGTTCAGCACCTTCTAAGCTTGGTCATGGGTCACCAAATCTAGGGATCACCCCACCTCCAACCGCTCCTGAGGCTCGCGCCGACCCAGACGCCAGTAAACCCGTCTACGTCAAAGCCTCGCAGCGGCGTGCCGCCCAGGAGGCGCCGCGGTTGACGCTGCAGTCCCACCACCCCTTAGCTACAGGCCTCGCTGTGCCTGTGGTCCGAGCCACCTCCGACAAATTGGAAATCAGTTTGCAGCACCTCGGCACACACGACGAGGATGATTGGGTTGAAGCGCCGCGCGAGGATCTTCTCCACAAACTCAAGAAAAGCAAGGATAAACGTGAGCGCAAGAGCAAAAAGTCCAAGAAGCACAAGGACGACGATCGCAGCCACCGCCACCGCCATGAGCGACACAAAAGTGGCAAAAGCAGCCGCCGAAGGGCCGCTAGTACCAATCATGAGAGCTCAGAAAGCGAGGATGAGGCCACCTCACGTGCTCAGGATCGCCTCCTGCTAGAAAAATTGCGCAACGCAGGCGGTGTGGCAGCTCTTCAAGGCAGACGTTCTCCTCACTCGGAATCGGCTCCTGCCCGCCCTCCCGTACCCAAAGAAACGTCGGCGCCTTCCTCCACTGCTCAACAGGCTCGGCCCCGACCCCGTGCCGTGGATTTCATGTAGACTGTACGCCCAAGCTTATTGACCTGCTTTGGGGCAAGCAGAGCTGCCCAAACAGTGTTTTTATGCAAATCCTGGTCTTGTCAATCCATGTATCATCCATCATCAAGTCTCAATTGTTGTTGAAGAACTCGGCCCGCTCTCGCTTCCTGTTCCCATCCCCGCTCGCCCCCCGCCTATCCAAAACGAACCAAAGCCTTCCTTTGGGAGCTCTCTGTTGGTGTAAATTGTTGACAACACTTGTTCACACAACATCAGTTTTTTCTCTTTTCTTCCCAAAATAGTTTGCAAGCGCGTTCTTTCAAGCCTCTGAATTCCCTTGGTTTCGAGTCAAATATCCCAGTCCTTTGTTTCACGCCCTGTCCTCCTCTCTGAACCGCTGCCCGTTTTTTTTTTTTTTTTTCTCTCTCTCACACTTTTTGCTTTCTTTCTTCTCTCCGCACCTCCTGCTGTGGCGGCGGGCTCTCATCTTTTCCGGTCGGCTGGGCAGCGTCAATTGGCTGGGCCCCGGGTACAGGGGCCCGCTTCAATGCCAAGGGCGTTGGTCAAGTCAAAGCTTGGTTTTCTCATGGTAGGTTTTTGATTATCCCAATGATCTGGGGCCGATCGACCCCCGTCCCAACCGCTTCTTCAGACCCCATGGACCTTGTGCGACTGTGCGGTTGCCTGCCATCCCTGCCCCTCCCAATACGACCGATCATATCCAAGTCTCAAAGCTTACTGTTGCTCGTACTTTGCTCAATTTCATCTTCGCCCTTTGTTGCCCTCCCTTTTTCAGTGGCCGACCTGCTGAATTTTCAGCCTCAACATTCGCGCTCGCTCGGCTCCCCGATCATCCCACAGACGGCATCCTGCAGGGGGCATGGGCCTTTGATTCAGTGTTGAGGAACACTCGTGGGCATGTCCGACGATCTTGACGCAGCTGCAAAGGCTGCCGCCAAGGCGGCGGGCGCACAGCGGCTGAAAAAGTTTCGCAACAAGACCCGTGCGCGCACCAAGAAGCCTTCAGCTCAACTGAGTGAGGGCGTGCCTGCGGAACCCTCGGGCGATCACAACTCATCGGCTTATGCTACCCCCGAGGGGTCACCAGCGGGCAGCAGTGGTCATTATCAGTCAGACGCGGGATCAGCTACACAGGATAGCGATGCTGATCCCGCATACCCTGACTCAAGCTCGGCAGCATCTGATCACTCGGCATACCACGAGTACATGAACGTGGATGCCATACCCACCAAGCCACACAGCGCCGACAATGATGCCCTCTCAGGACCGGGTAGTGAGAGAGAGTCCGGTCCCTCTTCGCCTGATGCAGACAGCTACACGGTATTTCATTGCCAATTCCTTGTTGCGCCTCAGTTCCATGTACATGAAGACAGGGGCGAGAGGGAATTTGTTGCCTGCCCGCCTTGCTTCTCAAAATCAAAGCACGCGAAGGATCATGCGCTCGATTAATGCTTCCGCTCATTGACGTGTCTTTAGTCTGAACGTATGACAGAGCAAGTGCTGCGACGGCTTCAATCTGATCAGCTGCGCGAGGAACGCATTAGCGATGCTGCCTTTGCGATGAAAACTGTGCGTCGTATTCAGGCGTCCCATCTCAAAGCATTTTGGTGTTTTGTTGATGATATCATGTACTCTCACCAGCTCCAATGTCATCGTCATGCAATCAGGTCTCAAGCAAGGACGCTCGCGAGGAAGTGACCGACCGGCAGCGCTTTGCATCCTTGCGTGCAAAAATGCATGCCAAAGTGCGTTTGCTCTTTGCTAGGCCCAGCCTTTGCAACTTTGTGCTGCATAGCGTCAGGTATTCTGGACCATTTTTGTTCTGAGGTCTTGTCTCATTCCAGCTCGGACCACATCTTCTTGCCCTGCTGGTCGTGCAAATTGTAGGAGTTGCAACGCCTGGATGAGCTGCCTTTTAAGTCTTTGGCCGAGCTTTCTGAAGCGTTAGAGGAAGAACGCCGTCGCTTTAAGGCAACATATCGGATTATTAAGGCGCTCGAGGGCCAGGGTGCTCCGGCGGATGAGGCGAAGGAGCAACATGAGCACTGCAAACTCATTATTGGGCACATTAAATCCCTCATTGAGGAGGCACGCCAGGACGATGACTGGTCATCTGACATGGACGCCAGTGCAGGTGCAACACCGCAAGATTCTATGGTCCCAGTCACCGTTGAGGGCGCCACAGGGCCCGAGCCACCGCAAACACCCATGCGTGCACTTCCCGCTCACGTGCAGCAAGTTTTATCTGCCAATTCAGCACCTGGCACCCCCGGAAATCCCGGGGAATGGGCGAGCTTGCCAAATCCAGCACGTGGTGTTCTGGCAACTCCCGACAGTCATGGTCTGCAGCGGCTGGAGATGCTGACCGATGCTGCTTTGCGCACGGCTAGCTCAGACGATATTCGACAGCTGGCCCTGTACTGTCAATCTCTTCATTCGGAACGCGATGAGTTGCGACAGGAGGCCAAGAGCATGCGGTTGCGTCTGGCCACAACATCCGATCGTGAGCTTGCTTTGGCGGGCGACGAGTTGCAGGCCTATGAATCAACTCTGGATGAGCTCCGTGATGAGATTTCAGAGCTCCGTGATGCCATCGAGGGGGTTCATGCACAAATTCACTTGGTAGCGGAGCGCACAGAGGTTGATACTGACCTAGAGGCTGTCAAAGACGAGCAGGTGGAGCGTCTTCGGCAAGATGCTATGAACCTCCTCCGCGACTATTTAGAGCAGTGGCAAGCCCATGTGCCATATGTCGAACACTCTGAGTCTCTCACAAGTGATTTGGAAGCAACGCGAAGTGCTTTGGAACAAGCAAATGCCGATTTGGAAGAAGTCACAGCTGAGCGTGCCCTTCTGCAGGAGGAGTTGCAAGCTGCTCAATCAGACGCGCATGGTCTGACGAAGAGCAACGAACACTTGAAGAGGGAGTCTGAGGCTTTTGAGGCACAACTTAAGAGGCTTGAGTTGAATGTCTCAGAGCAATCTCAGAAATACGAAACGGAGGTGCATGAGTTGCAACGCGAGCTGGAAGAGTCTAAAACAGCGAGCGTCGCCAGCGCTGCACAGTATGAGGAAGAAATTCGCCAACTTCGCACAGCAATGGCAGGTGCTGAGCATGGATTTGAAGATGCCAAGGCGGGGCTGGAAGGCGAGGTGTCGCGACTGCAGAGCGAGCTGGATGCGGCCCGCGCGCAACATGGCGCATCAACGTCCGAGCTGGAGACGGCCAAGGCGGAGCTGGAGAGCGAGGTGTCGCGACTGCAGAGCGAGCTGGATGCGGCCCGCGCGCAACATGGCGCATCAACGTCCGAGCTGGAGACGGCCAAGGCGGAGCTGGAGAGCGAGGTGTCGCGACTGCAGAGCGAGCTGGATGCGGCCCGCACGCAACATGGCGCATCAACGTCCGAGCTAGAGAGCGAGGTGTCTCGACTGCAGAGCGAGCTGGATGCGGCCCGCGCGCAACACGGCGAAACAACGTCCGAGCTGGAGACGGCCAAGGCGGAGCTGGAAGGCGAGGTGTCGCGACTGCAGAGCGAGCTGGATGCGGCCCGCGCGCAACATGGCGCATCAACGTCCGAGCTGGAGACGGCCAAGGCGGAGCTGGAGGCGAGGTGTCGCGACTGCAGAGCGAGCTGGATGCGGCCCGCACGCAACATGGCGCATCAACGTCCGAGCTAGAGAGCGAGGTGTCTCGACTGCAGAGCGAGCTGGATGCGGCCCGCGCGCAACACGGCGAAACAACGTCCGAGCTGGAGACGGCCAAGGCGAAGCTGGAAGGCGAGGTGTTGCGACTGCAGAGTGAGCTGGATGCGGCCCGCGCGCAACATGGCGCATCAACGTCCGAGCTGGAGACGGCCAAGGCGAAGCTGGAAGGCGAGGTGTTGCGACTGCAGAGTGAGCTGGATGCGGCCCGCACACAACATGGCAATGCAACGTCCGAGCTGGAGACAGCCAAGGCGGAGCTGGAGAGCGAGGTGTCGCGACTGCAGAGCGAGCTGGATGCGGCCCGCGCGCAACACGGCGAAACAACGTCCGAGCTGGAGACGGCCAAGGCGAAGCTGGAAGGCGAGGTGTTGCGACTGCAGAGTGAGCTGGATGCGGCCCGCACGCAACACGGCGAAACAACGTCCGAGCTGGAGACGGCCAAGGCGGAGCTGGAAGGCGAGGTGTTGCGACTGCAGAGTGAGCTGGATGCGGCCCGCACACAACATGGCAATGCAACGTCCGAGCTGGAGACAGCCAAGGCGGAGCTGGAGAGCGAGGTGTCGCGACTGCAGAGCGAGCTGGATGCGGCCCGCGCGCAACACGGCGAAACAACGTCCGAGCTGGAGACGGCCAAGGCGGAGCTGGAAGGCGAGGTGTTGCGACTGCAGAGTGAGCTGGATGCGGCCCGCACACAACACGGCAAGCAACGTCCGAGCTGGAGACGGCCAAGGCGGAGCTGGAAGGCGAGGTGTTGCGACTGCAGAGTGAGCTGGATGCGGCCCGCACACAACACGGCAATGCAACGTCCGTGCTGGAGAGCGAGGTGTCGCGTCTGCAGAGCGAGCTGAGTGATGCTCATGCCAAGGATCAACTTCGTGATGCGCAAGCCATTGCTGCAAGTGATGAACTACGCAATCTCCGTGGACGACTGGACATTGCAGAGAGCAAGCTATTCGACCATGGGATCGCTTTGGCTCAAGCCCAAGAAGCAACATTGGCGTCTCAACGTGAGGTGGATGAGGCACTCCGCGCCAAAGAGCAATTACATGTTCAACTGCGCGAGGCACACGAGCAGGTCAAGTCTCATTTGATGAATGAGGGCAGATCGAGAGTTGACGATGTCTCGGGCGTTGCTGAGAGCAACCCCAAGGGCCATCGCGCCCACACGTCACACATTTCAGCACCCTCGTCGCACGCACCCCCTCTGATTGACCGGTCATTGTTATTGGTTGCCGATCAAGACTTGGAAGGCGCTGATCGAGATCATACTCTTGACCTCATGGAGGCTTGGCTCGAGGCTGTCATGGATCTTATGGCTGAAGAGAAAATGCGTGCTCGAGACGTTTTTGCGCGCTTCGATGGCAATGATGATGGTCTTTTGGATCAGGGGGAGTTTGCTCATCTTCTGAAGCAGCTGCCGACTCTACGCGAACTGCCCTCCGCTGACGCGACAAGCTTGTTCACAGCCCTCAATCGGAAACAGCTCTCCGGTCTCGATTTGGAGGACTTTGCACGGCATCTCAAGTATCGTCATCACAAGAGCCATCATCACGCACCGCTCCATGTTTCGCGTGGCCCTCAAGCCATCGCCGACAGCGATTTGTCTCAGTCACTTCTTGATGAGGTCGAGTCATTACGAAAGGCAAACAGCGAGCTTCAGGCTCGTCTTGCTGCATCACATGATCGCTACGCAAAGCTAGAATCAGCATTGGACGAGCATGATCATGACGCCGAGAGCAGTCGCCTCGATCTGGTGCAAGTCCAAAACGAAAATGGGCAGTTATTCGACTCCCTCTCTCGTTCTCGGGATCACCAAGCTGACTTGGAGCGCCAGATCGAGGACTTTAAGGCACGCCTGGCCGAGTTGTTGTTGGATCAACAGAGTGCCGACCAGCGCGAAAAGGCATTGCGCCGCGACAACGACACGGCCCATCTCGAAATCGAGCAGCTGAGGGAGGATCTTGAAGAAATGAGGGCTGATAATGCGGACAAGTTGGCAAAAGTATCGGTGTTGACTGCCACCTGCAACGAGCTTGAAAATTTTCAAGGGCAAGCACAATCTACATTGACAGAAATGGAAGCCAACATACAGCAATTAAGCCAGCAATTGCAGCGGGAACAACAATCGTCTGTGCAGCTTCAAAGGCAACTAGAGGACGCCGAGGACACCACGAAAAAGGCCACACTTGAGGCTGAGAAGCTTCGCTCGGCGCTCGAGGCGTCGACAAGTGCGGGGGAAGAGCAGGCTGAGCTCCAACGTTTGGCTTTTGAAGCTAGTCAGGCGGCCCGCGAGCGTGATGACTTGACAGCTTCCTTGGAGAGCTTCAAAGTTAAACTCTTCACGCTCGAGCACAAACATGCCGAGCTGCAACAGCGACATGCTACATTGGTGGAAAGCCACTCGGCGCGTGCCAAGCATCAAGACGAGCTCAAGGATCATGTGGTGGTTGGCTTGGACTTGGACGCTGCGCGTCGGGCGAAGCGGGGTGCTGAGTTGGAGCATTCATCAATTCTTGTGCGACGGCTGGCCGAGGCGCGTTCGGAGCTGGACGGGAGCATTCGAACGATGCAGGCACTCGAGCAAGTGCATCGAACACAACTCCAAAGTTTACTTGAGCAAAACGAGAGCCTTGACAACGAGGTAGCCCGCCTTATCAAGCAAAAGCGTCATCTGGAGGAGTTGGCCGCGGCAGCTCAGGGGTCCAATGTCAGGATAGAGGAGCTCCAGCTGCGCCTTGAAGACTCCCAGAGCCTCTTGAACGCTCGTCTTGGTGAGCTGGAGCAGGCAAAGCGTGAAAATAACTCACTGCAGGTCCAACTCGACCACTCGGTGAACACACAACGTGATCTGTATCAGCAAATCCAGGACATTAACACGATGATCCGAGCCAAGGAAGCCACTCATCAGGAGCTGCGGGCTCAAATGCAAGACGCACAGGCGAGCACAGTGCAATTGGAGGCACACCTCAAGGCCCGAGAAGCGGATCTTGTTGCCTTGGAGAAACAATGTGCAAACCTGAAGCAAGTAGCACATGCAGCCGAGCTGGCCCATGACCAAACTCAGCACCAATATGCAATGCTTGAAAAGGAACGGGCAAAAGAGCAGCAGGAGCTGAAGAATGCACAAGAGCAGCTCAATGCCATTGTGATTTCTCTGGATCAGTGGCCCTGTCCTCATCTACCACCCTCGACTGCAAGTGCAAGCGAAATGCAATCTGAAGCTGAGATCACATCCGATGGACCTGCTGCTGACCAGGTCGGATCCGATGCGGCCGGTGCGATGTCTGTGGCGGCCCGTGTGGCAGGGGTGCTCGCAGCGTGGGCTCGAGCTGCAACGAGCGCATCGGCCCTCAGCGGCGCAGAACGACCCAACGAGCTGCAGCAGCTGCGCAGTCGGGTTCATGAGCAGTCAACCTTGTTAAAGGAACATGAGGTCACCGAGGCAGCGTTGAAAAAGGCCTTGGAGGAGTCTCGACTCAAGGAGGCAGCAGCACCATCTCTCGAGGCGCTTGGCACCATAGATCAAGCAGAGCCGAGGCCCACGCTGGTCGACCATGAAAGTGTGCAGGAGCTGCGTGAGCGGCTACACAATACCGAAGCTCGCCTGAAATCACTTGAGGAGGAAATGGAGTTTAGTTTTCAGCACTCACAATTTTGCATTGCGCTAGCCGACTACACGCCCGAGGTTGAGTCTCGCAATCGCGATGGCGCCGAGCGTGAGCTCACATTTCGTGTGGGTGACATATTTTTGCTCGTCGGCGACGCGGATGCGGATGGTTTCTTTCAGGCACGCACGGCCACGGATCAAGGCTTGATTCCGCAGACACTGGTGGTGGGTCTCCAGCACGTTTCTGTGCCAGCCCTGCAAGTGCTGCTGGGCCATGCTCAAGCCATTGGCAACAAGCAAATTGCAAAACTGCGTGAAGAGCAGGAGGCACAGAAAGAGACTGAGCGGTCTTTGCGCCACGATCTCAAGGTGTGCCTCACCAAAAAAGAAAAGTACAAACAGCACCTCATGGACCTGGAAAGTCGGACGATCAAGGCCACCGAAGCCCAGGAGCGCACTTTTGGCGAATTGCAAGACCAACAACAAAAGATGGAGAAGGTGCAAGCAATTTTGACAGAGGAAAAGCTGGCCCGCCGCACAGCCGAGCAGGAGCTAGCCCACTTACAGCAACAGCAAGCCCAAAGGGACAACATCTTGTTGCAACAAGAAGAAGCAGCTTCCGCGGCCACTACTGCAGCGGTTGACAGGGAAAGGCATCGAGTTGAAGGTCTGCAAAAGGAGCTCGAGGCGGCTCGAATGGCGCTGCAATCAACCCGCTCTGAGTTTGAGGCCAAGCTTCAAAGCGCACAGCAGGACCTCGAGAACACTCGCGAGGAACTATCCAACCAGGTTGTACTGGAAAAGGCGCAACGGGCGCAGATTGCGGATCTCGAGTCTCAGCTGGCAGACGCTACAGAGACCGTCCACCAGCATGCCCAGCAGATCGCAGACATTCGAAAGGAAAGGGACGTCATGCGTCAGGAGTTGAGTCTTTTGGAAAGCGCAAGCAATGACGTTGCTCGTCAGCATCAGCGTGAGCTGGTGGAGATGCAAGAGCGGTACACGGCCTTGGAGCAGGCACAGAGCCGTGGTGAAAGTGAGGCTTTGTCCACCCAAGGTCTTGCGAATATAAAAGCCGGCCAGCCGTTCTCTGAAGCATTGGTCGACGCCCAGAGAGCCTTGGAGAGCACACAGGGCGAGTGCAAGACGCTTCGTTTGGCCCTGGCGGAGGAGCGCGCTCGTGTGGACACCCTGCGGTCAGATAACCGCCGCTGTAGCGACCAGGCAAACGAACTGCGACTAGCATACCAGGCGCTCCGCGACGCACACGAATCAGCACTTCATCAGCTAGCCGCCCAAGCAGCCATGCCAGATCTAGACGTGTCTCAGGTGCAAGCTATTATCGCGGAGAGCCACGTGCAAGTGCAGAGCCTTTTGCAAGAGTTGCATGATGCTCAGACGGCTCTCAGGCATGCTGAAAATGAATTGCATGACACTCGTGACGAAGCACAGCGAACACGCGCTGTGTTGCGGAGCCTCGCCGAGTCCCTGCGAACTTGTGCTGCTTTGGAGGAGCCACTGGCGCTTGTGCTGCAGGACTTGCCGCCGGAAGAACCCTTCCAGGCTCTACTGCATCTTATGCCCGCCATGCGGGCTGTACTGACCGAAGTCGAGGCTGTGCATGGGCTGCCTGAAGATGAGATAATGGGTAAAATTGCGCACAATCGCCTCCAGTTTGAGATTGCACGGCGCCAGCTTGAGACAGAGCTTGAAGGTTTGCTTCAGCGTGTGCATGATCAGACATACCTTGCGGAACAGCGACAGCGTGCGGCGCTGGAGGCGCAACGGGACGCCACAAGTGCTAGAGCAACAGCTCTGGAAGCTCAAGAGACTGCCTCACGAGTGCAAAATCTGCAGGACAGCCGGGGCCGGCGAACGGGCCAGGAGCGCCAGCTTCAGCTGGATGACATGCTGGCCACCATTGAGGGCTTGGACATGGAGTTGGCGTGTGTGGCCGAGGATCGAGCCATGCTCCTTGAAGCACTGCAAAAACAGCTGACTGCGCTTCACAAAATGCTGCAATTGGTGATGGACGCCGATTTGCAAGAGTTGGGTCTGGCGCCAGAGCCCTCTGATAGCGACCCACGTGCTTTGGTGCAGTCGCTCGTTGGCGGTGAGTTACTTGGCATTTGCTGGATGTTGCTCATTTGCGGCTGATGCTCGCTTGTGTGTGTGTGTGTGTGTGTGTGTGTGTTACCCCATTTTCCTTTCTGCCCCGCCCCCGGTTGTTTTCTCTTCTTTTTTTCCTCTCCTTTCTATCGCGGCTGACCATTCACGCCTGCTTTTGTATGCTGCTCATCCACAATTATGTTTTGTTCATTCTTTTATTTTTTACTCATATTTTTGGAATCCTTTGACGGGATCGCCTTTGCTTGCATGTTGGGAGTAGCTTGCCATGAGGGCAGCCGCCTGCTGGTCGCTGCATTGTCGAGTCAGCAAGAGGATCAACGAGACTGGCTGCGCACGATCGAACTTCAGCGTCATGAACTTGAATCGCTGAAGACACAAGGCCCAAGGTCAAGTGGGGCCGACGTTTCGGAACCAGCCACAAAGTTGGCAAAGGAGCTAGCCAGCGTTCGAAGAGAGCGCGACGAAGCCATGGAACAGGTGGCTCAGTTGCAACGGCGGCATCAAGAGCTGGCAGCGCTCAAAGCCGAGCTGGCCGACATACGCTGTCAGGTGCGCACTCGCCTGGCAAAACCGCTTGCTGTCGCAGAAAATCTGCAACAGGTCTTGCCGGACGAGGCGGCCCAATTGCGCATGCCAACACTTGAGGAGTTTGTGCGGGGCCAGGACGAGCAATTGACGGCTTCACAGCTGCAGTCGAGTGATGTTCGCCCCGTTCGGGCCGAGCTCTCGCGCTACGAACGCATTTTTGAAGAACTCAGCAGCACCACCAATCGTCAGGCAGCGATCATCGTTCGCCTGCTGAATGATGCACACGAGTCCAACCCCGTCGTGCCCCCTGGTGGCTCCCAAGAGGTCACAAATTACACGGATGCAGACAGGCATCCACGAGTGTTTGTGGATTCGACACGCCCAGTTGATGTGACGGCAACCAGTACGGGGTGGCCGGTTGCAAATCTTTTAGACACCGTCGTGCACGAGGCTCGTGATGCACAACAACTTTTGGCTGCACTTCGTCGCCAGCAGCGCGGTGACTCTGGAGAGTCTGTTGGTTTGACCGCGTCCCAGACCCACTTGCACGGCGAGACCATGCAACAGCTTCTAGCACGCAACGAACAACTGGTCAAGGTAAGCCCCGAATTGTGTGCATACCACTATTGCTGGAGGCTATCAAAGCCTCACATGAGTTATCGACTTGTCTGTCTCTCTTCTTTGTCTCGACTGTCTCTCTTCTTTGTCCTGACAGCCTCTCATGAATGTGCTTGGTGGCTGTAACTGTGATGCCCAGGCGTTGTCCGACCTATCAACACGCCTTGCCGCACAAGAACAGAGCACGATGGATGCCGAGCATCGCTTGGTGGCGCGAGACCATGAGCTGAGTGCCTGTACCCAGCGTCTCGCGGATAGGGATGCCGAGCTTGCAGGCACTGTCCAGCGCTTGGAAACTGCAACGCAAGCCTTGAGTCGGGTTGAACATGAGTGCAGCTCCCTACGTTTGCAACTGGCGACGGTCTCTGCCCACACCTCTGCGATGGCCACGGGATCGACTGAACGGGAGCGTGAGTTGGAGCTTGCGCTGCATAAGCTCGAGGCCAAGGCCACGCGAGAGCATGCCCAAGCAACCGCTGCGGCTGCTCAGATGCAATGCGATCTGCGTCATGCCACTTCAAGGGTGGCTGAGTTGGAGCAGCAGGCGCAGACATCGGTACAGGCCACTGCACCTCAACCGGCTGGCACAGAGTGGGGACGCAACCCTACCACTGTCACTGAACTTTGGGAGGAAGCCAGGCGGTTGGAGCGGGCTCTTGATCATGCTTTGGATGAGCTGGCCACGGAGCGCCGTAACGCCGATGAGCTACGTCACCGGCTTCAAGCCGTGGAAAATACTCGACACAACCAGATGCCATCTAGTACGAGCGGTCTGACAGGAGCCGACCCTTCGGCTCAAAAGCAAGAGGCGTTGACGCGCCAGCTTCGCGAGTACTTCTTAAAGTTTCATCGAGCCGAGAGCTTTAGGAAGGCACTTGTCTTTCAGAAACAGTACCTTCTCTTGCTGCTTGGCGGTTTTCAGGACTGTCAGGCTCTGACTCTGCGCGAGCTTGCTCGAATTGGCAGTCACTCTCGTTCACAGGCCACAGGAGAGGCCAAGACAGATGGTACAAAATCCCGCGGCGTAGCCCGCTTTCGCACAGCTGCACTGGCAGTCATGGCCAACCTCCGGCTCGTGCGCTTGCATGCACGTTGGCAACAAGCCGCGCATCAAAAAGTATGAGTTTTAGCGTTACCTTGTTGTTTTGCTGGTGCGGCGCACTTTGATGATGGTTGGAGACAGGATATCGCCTAGCGCTGGCATGCATGTTAAGATTTGGATGGCCAGGCAAACTGTCCGTGTGTGTGCGTGTTCGTGGGCATGTACGGAGCTGGCGCCGGGCATTTACATTGATGAAGTTATGAAGTGATGATTGAAATTGATTTAAGCGACCCTAGCATTGATCCTTCACGTTCACATGTCAAAAGCAAAGCTTACGAAAAAGAGAAGGCAACATCACATCAAGCAGAAACTTTGTTGTGTGTGTTTGGACTGCACTTGACCGTTACGTTCTCTTTTTGTAAGTGGGCAGCCTCACGGACAAAACAGCGTCGGTTGTGACTTGAGGAGTGAGCGTATGATCTTAACACAAGTTTGCTCCAGCGTGCAACTGGTTGGTGGCGGACCAGGCTGAGGCTGAGTCGAACACGTTGTCGTGGGCAATCTCAGACTCTTGACGACTGTTGTTCCTGTTCCAGGAAGAGTTGCTGCCCCACTCGTTTTTTTTTTTTTTAACATTATCATGGCGGACGATCTTGAGGTGTGATGATGGCCGGCTTGTCTTCTTCTGCGCTGACCTCGGCAGTTTGCCCGTGAGCGACTCACTATGAGATGTTGCCATGACCTCCATGGGCTCTAATGCTTAGCTTCCACGCGCCGTTGTGAACCGCATCATCAAACGATCTGTAAGCTCCCGCACAAACGTGGACCTCGCCAGCATTGTGGCTTCGACGCTCTCATCATGGTGTCGGCCTGTCGCCATAGCTTCCAGATGGCATTGCCATCTCACGCGATGCACGACTAGCGACTACCGTCGCGGCTCGTGTGTTTGTGTCCTATGTCACAGCCATGTTCGTATCCCAAACCCGACTTGTTTGAAGTGCTCTTAATGCACCTCTCCCTTGTTGCCTCTGCAATGGGGCATCAACAGGCGGGGATGGACGACAGCGCCCCTAGGGCACTGCGTGGCGTGCTTCACACGCTTTGGACCGCCTTTTACACTTGTTCTCATCTTTTCTTTGGGGCTGGGGCCTGTGTTGTCATTGCATAGGGCGAATGACATTGCACGTGAGAAGGGGCGCAAGACCATCAGTGGACAAGATATCGTGGATAGCATGGAAGAGATTGAGTTTCCCCAGTTTGTCCCTGAGCTACAAAGAGCCAAAGAAGGTGCGTGCTCGCTCTTGCTATTTCCGCCTCTCGTGAAGGCATGGTGTGTTTGCACACCCTCAACTTAACGTGGATTTGTCGTCACAGAGTATCACGCCAGCAAGGCGGCGAAGCGAGCACGGAAAAGTGACAAGAAAGACGACAAAGCCGACGAGCGTGCCACGGATGGATCGGCTCTTGATACAACGGCAGACGAGACACTAGTGGATGCCGAATAAGGCCGACGGCCTCCTTTTTTTTCTGGCGTTGCCCCCGACCGGGTCGGGTGGTTGCGCTCACTTCCAGTTTTTTTTTGTTCTTTTTGGTGTGAGCGCATTTTTTTTCTCGATTGTGAATTCAGAAGTCAAGCGTTTCGGCAAATGTACACGGCCAAGGCAATCTACTTTGCCTGCCGCCGAAATGGAGACGGTATCTCGAAAGGGCGCGGGGGAGGGGTTGAGAAAACGAGCACATGTCGAGCAAGGCTTCCAGGGTTGTCCTGCATGATCAAAGTGGACATATCTTTCAAGAGCAACACGTAGTATTTCCCCAGCGCTGGCACCACTCATGAAATCTTGCATTCGAGTCAATTACGTTGATAGGTGGGTGAGTGTCTGGTCAGAGTGTTACTCGCCTAACAAGCGCTTGTCCTGGACGGCAAAGCGAATCAAGCTGGTGTAAAGCCGGAGTGATAAAAACATACGCGGAAGGTCACAAGAAGGAAAACAATGCCACGGACGAACAAGAGCAAAATTTTTAAGAAAAACGGGCGCGGCCCGTTCCCATGAATAGTCTGTCGATCATACAAAACGCTTACAAAAGGGAAAAAACAAACAGTTGCCATGCCACGCCCAAGCGGCCAAAAAGATGTGCGCTGGCGTGGTCACAAAGAGATGCGCTGAGCAACTTATAGCTGAACCGCTGGGGCATTGCACATGATAATGGCATGAGATTGCATGGTTCCGTCCATTAACTGGCGTCGCAAAGCAGCACGCTGCTTCCGACCGCGTGCCTCAATCGGAATCACATTGCTCTCGAGCACTACAATGGCGTCCACTTGCAACTAAGGCAAAGGTGGATGTGAGAAGTACGCAAGGCGCATTATCAGGCACATGAGCCGAGAGCAGATCAAATAAACGTAAACCGTGTCCCCTGCCCGAGAAGAATAAAAATTCACTTACATCGTGCTTTTCGAGCAAGGCTCGCATGACGAGGGGTGCCAAAGCCAAGCCCCGGCCCGGCTCATTCTCCTCAACGGCCACGACCAAGCCCGATGCAGGTGTGTGCCACACAACGCAAGTGCCGAGGGTGAGCGAAGGATGGCAGCGCTCCACGGCTTCCTCCAAGTCAAGTGGGTTGAACCGACGGTCGTCCACAAGCAGGCAGTCTTCTAGGTGCCCAGTGACGTAAACGCGGTGCTCATGCAAGAACCCCAGTAGGCCAGATCGTGCATACGTGGAATCATGCCCCGTCACCTGCAATGCGATGCAACAACACGCAACGCATGAGCTACCGTTTATGAAGCGTTAAAAAAAAAGCCAAAAAAAAAAAAATACACATTGCCCCGGTGAAGGATGGCACAGGCTTACCTGGCGTTCGAGTAGTTCATGCTGCACCTGGGCTTGCACCTCCGAGTCTGTCAAACCCACGAAAGACCGAATGTTGTTCACCGAAGAAAACCACAGTTCTCCAATGCCGTCCGCCGTGCATTTGGCTTCAGTCTTGGTATTCACAACCACGGCCTGCACTGCAGGGGCTAGCCGACCAAGTGGAAAGATGGGCACGCCCATAGGGGACCCCTTCGCCAAGATTTGCAGCTTATCTTCTTGGAGAAGGCGAGCATCAACATAAACTGGCTGGTTGGGCTCTTTGCCTCCCATCGTGCCAGCAAGGAAGGGGTTGATGCGGTTTTCGAGAACAGTTTGCAGCGCCGTCGAAGGCATGCCAGTCGCTGAGGTAAGGCGGCGGAAATTCTCCAGGACGGTCTGCCAAGGGCGCTCCTGAGTTACCACGAGGCAGCGCACCAAGCGAGTGCAATCGCAGGCATTGATGGCCGAGGCCACACGCTCATCCTCAATGCTTTCCAAGCAGGACATGAGCGCACGGTAGTCCACGAGCGCCGTGTCCACTACAAGCGTGCAGCATACAGTGAAGGGCCAAAATGACAGAAAAAAAAATGCCTCTTTTCAAGTCTCCTTCTTCCCGTGCGCCTTTCCTGCCCAAGCTTCTCGTTGTCACACGCCTGACCTTGTTCGCGCGAAGCAAGCTCAAGCCATTGCTGGGGCGCTTCTAGTGTTTGAGGATCGACGCAGAGAAACTCGGCCTTGGCAGAAAACAAGGGTACATAATAAAGCCAGGCATGGGCAACACCCGTGCTCGCATCCGCGTTGACCAAGACGCGGGATGCCGACTCCAAGTCATAATGACTCTACAACATTTCGACGTACGACCATGAGAACCCCATCCTGGTTTCAAAGCTCGCGTGCACTTAGGGACACAAAGCGAGGGTCTCCGCCACGACGCAAACAGAACAAGAAATATACCGTGATAGCTTGGCCAATGGTGAGCATATGCTGGTGCGAAAACTTTACAATGACAAAACACAATCAATGCTAGTGAGAGGCAGCCGTCAGGCACAAGAAAGGCCAGCAGTGCACGCGACCAAGGCCCACCTCGACGCCCGAGAGTACGCCGGTATTGGAGATGGTATATTCCACATAGGCCGTCTCCGCACGCGAATGAGGTACGACAATGCCATAGTGCTCGCGAGGAGAAAGTTTGCTTAGCGAGATCATGCTTTTGATACCCACTAACAACAAAAAATGAATACAAACACGCACACGTGAGTGCCAGCACCATGTACCTACTGCGCCCACTCAGCTCTTCACGCTACCGCACTGCAGATGGCTAAACGAGGCAACACGTACGCGTGCGGCGAATGTCGCGATCAGCCTTGCGGAGCTGTTTGACACCTTTGTCGCTTGTCAACACAAAAGTGGCGTTTGCATTTCGTGACACCTCGCGCAAAACATCGAGCCAGCGCGCTAGCTGGCTGGAATCGTAAACAAAGGGCATGGTGATGGGTATGACACCGAGCAATAGGCACGCATGGAAAGCAGCGACCTGCATCGTATGTGGTCCCAGCGCATGTGTCGGTAGAGTGTCAGCAAGGAAAAAAAAGAAAAAAAAAAAAGAAAAAAAAAAAAAAAAAAGAAAAAAAAAAAAAGAAAGAAAAACGCGCCCGCGGCACCAGTCACAAAAAACGCAAAAGCGCCCATTACGCTGCGGCTGACCTTGGCGGCTGACATGGGAAGCATAAGTATAGCACGGTCTCCTTTGCCGAGACCCTTCTTGTTCAAAGTCTCAGCAGTGCGTCGGATGTAGCTGAGCAGGTCCGACGCGGAGAGAGCCTTGACTTGTTGATGATCATCCCAAATGCGGTACAGGTTGCGGCTGGGGCTCGAACCATCCTTTGCCGCCAATTTCACGAGCAGGCTCATGGCAGTTCGCGCTGCTTGGACCGCCTGAGAGGAGACATGGCAGAGGGTTGAGGGGAACGAGGTGAAAATGATCGAAAGTTGGTAACCAAGGCCTTCACTCTTGGAGGAGGGGGCAGCGAGAATGCTTTAGCAAGTTTAGCTAGATGTGGCAAAAAGCACTGCACAACGAATCACTCGTCTCGAGGTCAACCCGAAGCGAATACATACGTCCGAAAGGTGAAGTTGCACGCCAGTAGCCTCGCTGTGACGAAGATCTTGACCGGCCATCTGCGTGAGAGGGGTCTGGGCAAATCGTGTGGGGCGCCTTGAGCGAGCCGACGGCACGGCGTGTGGGTCCAAGACCAAATGCCAGAGTGGCAGCTGGCCCCTTTCAAGCAGATGAGTGACCAAGGGGAGGTCAACCGAGCCTAACACCCCCAAAAGGCGCCCAAGACAACCAAAGCATGAGGTATGACCAAGCGGACGTGTAGTATGGACACGACATGGGCTCACAGTCCATCAAGAAAGACCACCAAGAGAATGGGCATTCGGCGCGTTGATCCAGACCTACCGAGCCCTGTGGTGGGAAGATCTGAGTCTTGAATCAGGCCAATCAAAACAGGCGCCACGCGATGGCGGCGTGTCACCTCCAGCAGCATATTGCTTAAAAGCGAGTCCAACTGCGCGCCGTCAATATGATAGGAGTACACACACGTGAATCTCAGTCTGGGTACGTTAATCACAGCCTGGATTTGCAATCCTGGTCACAATCCCGACAGCATCCACAACCTTGGTTGCAATAGCGCGGCCCCCCGTTTGTGGGTACATACCAGCTGCATGTCTTCGCTCTCTTGTCGCTCAAGCGAGATCAAAATGGCCAGTTGCTTCCGGCGTACGGAAAAGTATACCAAGTTCATTTGGGCAGCTGTCAAACGACTCGTACGCGCATGACTCTACACACAGAGGACAGTTGTGTCAAATGAATAGCCTGCAAAGTGCTGAGGCGCATGCCTTGTATGAATCATGCCCGATAAAATACGGTACCTTGGCAATGGCAGCTAGAGAACTCTTGACCTGGTCTGCCAACACCCAGGTTTGCTCGACATGAAGAAGTGTCTCTCGATCACCAACAATAAAGAGCTGCTCGCCTTGGCCCTGCAAAACTGTGCCATAGAGGCCAGTTCGGGTGTATGTCTTGCTCTTGCGTTCGTTGCGGTCCTCATCAAGCACAAAGTCGAAGTCGCCTTGAGCTTTGTCACCAAGAGGCCCGGCCCATCCTGTCGCAACAGCCAGGGTATGCCGAACGGCAATTTCACCAATCTCACCCATGCGACTTGGGCTTGGGTGCTCCAGATCCAACACAACAAAGGCCGATCCTGCAAGATCGAATCGGAGTGAGATAGAGAAAGTGCAGACATGAGTGTGCGTGCGTGTGCGTGTAGAGGGAGGGGTTGGGTTGGGTTGGGTTTGAACAACCCTGCACGGAGAGAGGGGCAAACGGGAGGAGCAGGCGAACAGGAACAAGGCATGTGGCCAAACCAGGTAAGGGCATGCCCGCGCCGAGGAGGTTGCTGGTGGGGCTGCGCTGAGCGGCTTCAGCCACAACGCCTCGAGCCAACAGCTCGGGGTCCACATTGGCTTGGGTGGAAGCAACAGCATCATACGATGCCACAGCAACAAAGCCAACCAGATCACTACAGGAGACGAGGTAGACCACCTAATTCGAAAGGCCCGTGAGCTTGCGTCAGGCTCAAAGAGGGCCAAAAGTCTCGGGCAGAACAATATGCTGGGCCATAGCATCAAGGCATACCTCCTGTGCGAGTCCAAGGTTGCGCAAATGAGCAATGTTGCCACGAAGGCTGGGGCTGTGAGCTTGGGGAGCAACAATACCAAACCAAGCAGCGTCGTGCAGGTTGGCCTTGCGGGTGGCCGTCTCCAACTCGTATTCGCCCATGGCATCAAAAACCGCATGATCGACATACACGGCTCGAGCTTCGCTAAGATGGCGTTGCTTGGCGAGTGCCGCCAGCAGTGCACTGGCCATGTGTATGGTGGCACCGGCCACAACGACCGTGTGACTGGCGCCCGCGAAGAAAGCAAGCAGTCCATGCCACAAGAAACCATAAGTGGTGGGGAGGAGTGCAGAAAAGATGCTATGCGTACATTGGTAGCCCAGCGCCTTCTCGGCAGCACCAAGGTGATGCAAAAGCGAGCCATGCGTCACGCACAGCGGCAGGCAGTTATTGGAGGCATCAAAGATTGGTAGCACAAGGGCATTGGCATGAAGTTGACCCGCAAAAAGGGGGTGCTGGCGGCTCTTGTCGATAGAGGGGAGGGTATCAAGCCGGAGCACGTCGAGACGTTCCACGGCAGCCCGGCCAGCAGAGCTCAAACTCTTGAGGGTCTCCTTGTTGCAAGCGACCTTGTACACGTTACACATGCGAAGCATATTCTGGAGACGTTCGGCGTTGCGCCAACTCGAGTCGTCCTCAGCCAGCAAGAGTGGGATGGCCGTGATCCCGGCGGCCAGACAGCCGAGCAGAGCTTCCCAAAAATGAAAAACGCAGCGGGCACTACTGGCCTTGAAGAGTAGGAGAATGGCTGCGTCTGGATCACTGGGGCTGTCGGCCTGAAGGAGGGCCTCACCAATCTTGCGGGCCCGGGCATGAAGATTGGTCCAGGTCAGGGCCATAGACGCGTGGCCAGTAGCTGCCAATACGTGGAGGGCAGTGCCCTTGGGATTTTGTTCACACTGCCACGCCAAAATCTCCACCAGATTGGTGCAAGCAGTACGATCGGGAAAGCGTCGCGACTGCTCCAGAGAGACGGGGACATCGCGGCGAGTAATGGGCGCGCTGTAGGCTGCATGCGCCAGAGCTGATTTGGCCAGGGTATCCAAGCGATGAGCTTCCGCGTTGTCATCGTCATCAGCAGCATGAAGGTAATCTGCGCGAGGAAGGCGGGCCGTGGCCTTGGTTTGCTTGGTGAGGACTGACTGAAGGCGCTTGATCAGGTTGCCGTGAACGGGCATGGAGTCTCGACGTGATAGTCCCGGCCCCGAAGGCCCAAGGGAGCGGCGTTGACCAGGACGCTGGGCGATGGAGAGCCGTGAAAAGCCATCGGAGCGTGCAATGGCGGGTTTGGCATGCGTGTGCAAGTTGCGGGCCAGATGTTCGTTTCCGGTTGGGTGGGAAGGCCGTGAGTTGACGCTGGTGGCCAGATCGTACACGGGGTCACTCTGACCAGAAGGTGGACGGGGGCCGCTGATGTGAGAGGCCCTCGGGTCATCGGCGCTGCTCATGTGTGAGGTTCGGGCCGTAACCAGGGCATAGCCCCCACCGTTTTTCAGGTCTTCAAAGCCATCACTGTCCACATCACTGCCATCGTAGTCGAGATCGTCCTCATCCTCATCTTCATAGAGCGAGGAGTGAACAAATTTGCGAGGCGAGGTCGGGGGCAGAACAAGCTGGAAGCCGCTTTCGGCCTGCTGGCGCGGATCTCGCAATCGCTCTTCGTAGCCCGAGGAGCGGTCCGAGGCTTCGGAATGACGCAAGGGGGCTGTGCGGCTGGACAGGTGAGGTTGATTGAGATCAGGGGCACGGGCAGCAGAGGCCATAACTTGTGCTGCCGCCTGTGCTGCCAAAGCCGCTTGGCGGGCCCGAGCAGCAGCTTCTTGCGGCGTGCCAAGGCCGGGAAGAAAGGAGGCAGGAACGACAAGGCGAGCGGCGCTGGATTGGCGCGCTGGTTCAATGGGTGGGATGCCCGATTCGGGGCTAGCCTCGGAGCTGGAGGCGGCAACGCTGCTCAGGACGGGGTTTGTATTGAGGCGGGTGAGCTTGGGCGGGGAGGTCCGGCGCTTGCTGGGCTTGTTGACACCGGCTTCCGGAGAGGCCCCGTGACTGCGAGACAGGCGCTCGACGCCGTCGAGGTCGGCGAATTTGCGCTGTAACTCTGGAGTGTAGGACGGCTGCGGTGACTCTGAGTTGCGACGCGTTCGTCGGAGCAGGCGCAACATGCCCTTGCCACGCGCGGCTATCAATACAGGCGATGGCGATATACGATCAGGCGCGAGACAACAAAAGGAAAATAAGGGCAGGACACATGCGGGGCCGAGTTCCTACCGGGGCGGGCTTGCTTGATGGGAGCGTTTCGTTGCTCCATGCTCGAGGAGAGCTCCCGGCACTGCAGCGTTGGGTTCAAAAAGTATGGAAGATGCTGCCGAAAAGCCACGCTCGGCGCGCTGCAACTAGTATTTTCGTCTTGGTGCCTCGATGACTGTGCGCATAGGGGTCGCTCATTGCCAGCGCAGGCCGGATCCGATGATGTGTTCTCTTTGAAAATCCTCTGGGAGGCGGCGGTGGCGTGCGGTGCGAGCGCAAACAATGCGTAACCGTCCGTGTTCAGTCAATCTCGAGGCCTATACAGCACAGGCGTGTGTGTTGTGTGTGAGTTGTGTGGGATACAGCTCGGGCGCCCGTGTGGCTGGTGGTCGTCCACAGCACAGCGCTCCGCTAGCACGTTCGTCCGCTCAGTGCTCAACGAACAAAGTGCCTGGTGATGAAGCAGATGCTCTGCTGTGCGGATGATCGCTCATCCCACTGAAATGCATTGAATGCACGTATCCGGTGCTCGACGCGCGTGCGCCACCAGACACCATCACCAAGCCAAAAGGTAAAGTAAAAAAACCAAAAACCTCAACGACGTTGCACACATGCATCAAGTGCATCCCACAACCCTACACACACATTTACCCATGGACACGGTTTCGCCTTGTGGCGCCTCGATGCATTTCTTCGCCTTGCTCGCCTCGGTACATTGCAGTCTGCTTTTTTTTACATCCTTGCCTCCCTCTCCTTCATCCCGATTACACCGTTGGTACCATTGGCGCAGCATCCAACCGACCAGCTCTTCCCCCGGGCTGCCGTTTCCAAACCTGAACTGGTCAAAATCATAATATAGATGGGAAGCCTTGACCCCTCGACAGCTGTTTGGCGTTTTGACTTTCAGGTTCAAAGCTTAAAGCTTGCTTGGTGCTTGTGCGTTACGTGACGTTAAGGGTGTTTGGTGTATGAGAAAGAGGTCACTCACTGCTTTTGTATGTGGGTTGGATGTGGGTATTGTTCACAGGACCGCAATACTTGTGTCCGCAGGATTCTGCACATGTCATTGGTGGCGATGAAAAATTTTGAAAAAGGAGCTTAAGCGGCAACGGCTGTGACGTCACAGCAACCGTCTCAAACCGCTCGAGCGCCATCAAAAAAAAAAAACGTCAGACATTAGTGGAGAAGATCCTACTGTGACATTGATCACATTACAACACTAACGTAATCTTTGTCACAGTTTCAAGTAACAATAATGACGCTAAGTAGCGGCCTGTTCTGGATGCTGACTATTGGTTTTGGACAATTGTTTTGCATCAGCTTTTGCTCGTACGCTTATACACAAGTTTGAGGAGGTTAGCAACGCCCCGGGCCGATAGCTCGGTCGCCAAAGACACCAACGCCGCGATCAACACCATTTTCTGCGGTGGCACACACATTTCCGCGCTTTTGCCCGTGCGCGCGTGCTCGCTCCCTCTCCTCCGGCTCCTTCCTCTCTCTCTCTCTCTCTCTCTCTCTCTCTCTCTCTCTCTCTCTCTCTCTCTCTCTCTCTCTCTCTCTCTCTCTCTCTCTCTCTCTCTCTCTCTCTCTCTCTCTCTATCTCTTTCTCTCTCTTGCTCTCACACAGTCAAGGGGTGACAGGCCAGAACCGCTGGCAGTTCTGTGACCGCCCTGCTTTGCATTTGGGGCAGGCAGGAGGCTGGCTGGCTGGCTGTGGGTGGCTCGCTCCGCCTCCCCGTGTCACGCCCCAGCAAAGGTGTCTCACGACACCCTCTCATAGTGCGATAGTGCGAGGCCAGGCTCACAGCACTGTGCTCCATTAATTTAGCACTGGCCTGTCGCTTTTGCTCTCAAAGGCACGGTCGTGCGTTTAGCCGCTCGTGGTTCTTCGTTGCATGACGCGCGCTGAATTGGTTGTGAGCCACCACCACCACCACCATGTCACCACCCCTGATCGAACCCAAGTACGCCTTTGGCCTCCGTGCCGCGGTGGTGGACAACGCCTGCTATCTGGACGAGCAGAATGTGGTCTACCCTGCCGGTGGCAGCATTGTGGTCTACAATGCCGATCAAAAAAGTCAGCGTTTCATTCACAGTACCGAGGGTCGCGATGGCTTCTCCGCCATGGCCGTCAGCCCGAATCGCCGCTACATTGCCGTGGCTGAGCGCGGTGAAACGGCCTCTGTTACCATTTACGATCTTCACTCGCTCAAGAAACGCAAAGTGAGACCATTTACCTACCCCCCTGTCCCGCTTTCACTTGGCTCTTTCTCGATTGCCCTCCCACCCCTTGGGTTGCTCCCAGCGTGCGCTTGCTCTCCCCTGCCCTCCCTCCCTCCCTCCCTCCCCTCACCTCTCCGCTGCGTGCTTCTCTTCGCGGTGCACCAAAACCTAGTTTTTGAGCTTGGAAGAACCCAACTGCACAGAGGTTGTCTGCCTCGTGTTCAGCCCCGATAGCAAGTATCTCGTCACCGTGGGAGGTGGACCCGATTGGATGATGCAGTATTGGGCGTGGGAGCGTTCCCATGGCCTAATGGCCACAGTCAAATGCTCCCTGGATCCAGCCGTACCCGTGTACCGAGCCTCCTTCAACCCGCAGGACAACACTCAGCTCTGCGTCACGGGTAAAAACATCCTAAAAATGTATCGCTACACTGAAGGCACCTTCAAACAGCTAGCCTTTCCCAAGGTGGAAGGCCAAAACTATTTGCATCAAGTCTGGCTCAGCCGCGATGCCATCGTGTGTGGTACCGAAGCCGGCAAACTTCTCGTCTACGCCGGCAATGAACTCGTGTCTGAGGTGACCCTTCCCGAGCGCATTACCGCACTGGCCTCTCTCACAACCGGCTTTGTGTGCGGTACTGCCACCGGCCTCATTGCCGTCTATGAGCGCCACGAGGCGCATCAGTACACCAAAGTTCGTGAGCTCACCCTCGGAGAGGAGGAGTCGGCCGCCATGGTCCATGGCGTGCACCATATTGCCATCAGCCCTGCGGAGGAACGTCTGGTGGCCACCACATCACGTGCTCAGCTCTACACCGTCGCTCTGACCGATGTCGACAGCGATGTACTTCGTGGTACACCTCAGCCCCAGGCCCACCTCTTGGTGCAGAGCTTTCACTCAGATACCATTACTGGCCTTGACGTGGCGGTGCGCAAACCCGTGGTTGCCACGACAAGCAGTGATTGTTCCATTCGCATCTGGTATGCCCATGCCCACACCCGGTCGCTCGTTCAAGAAGCCTTTTCTTTTCCCCGCTCTGTCGCAATATCTCTCACGGTACTTATACTTGGCTTTGAACCGCATCAAGGAATTACGAGGACCACAAGCTGGAGTCGTCCAAGGTCTTTCAGGACGAGATCCTCTCGGTGGCGCTGCACCCTTCGGGCCATCTCCTGTTGGCTGGCTTTGGTGACAAGCTGCGACTGATGAACCTGCTGGTCAATGATATTCGACCCATCCACGCCTTCTCCATTCGTGAGTGCGGTGAATGCCGTTTTAGCCGAGGTGGCCACCTCTTTGCCGCCGCTCAAGGCGCCGTCGTGCAACTCTACTCGACCTACACCTTTGAGCACGTGGGCAACCTCAAGGGTCACAATGGCCGCGTGCGCTCCATCTTCTGGTCGGCTGACGATGCTCGCCTCTTGACTTGCGGCATTGACGGCGCCGTGTACGAATGGGACGTGGCTACTCGCACACGCATCAGCGAGAACGTGCTCAAGTCTTGTAGTTACACCTCAGCCGTCTTTGCATCAGACGGTGACGCTATCTATGCAGTTGGCTCGGACAAAACCATCAAGGAGCTGCGCGGTGGTGAGGTTAGCCTCGAGGCGCCAGCCGGCGACGATGTAGTCGCTGACGCTGTCCTCACCCAGCTCGCCGTCGCTGGCAACGGCACCATGGTCTTTGCCGCAACGGGTCACGGTACCGTGCGCTCATTTCAGTACCCCTTGACCAACCCAGCCGAGTGGGCCTCCGTGCCGGCACACCACGGCAACATTACGCGCCTCTGCATTGATCGCCTGGGGCAGCAACTCTTTTCGGCTGGCCAGGATGGAACGCTCTTCATTTACACGATTACGGACAAGGAGGGCCGCCACAGTCAAGCCAAGCCCGTGGAATGGGCTGATGAGGTTCTCATCACGGGCGTCGACCTCACGGATAAGGAGCAGCTTGTTCAAGATCTCCAGCGTCGCGTGGACGAGCTTCAAATGGCCTCGGAATACCAGCTGCGCTTGAAGGACATGAATCACAACGAGAAACTCAAGGAAATGACGGACAAGTTTGTTCAGGAGAAGGAAGAACTCAAGCGACAGCTCCAGCAGCTCAAGGCGGAGCGCGAGAAAGACCTGGCTCGTCACGAGGAGGAGACTACAGCTGGCATTGATAGTCACATTTCCGAGATCCAGGAGCTTGAGCAGCACCACAACAAGCGCTTGATGGCCGAGTACGAGAAGTATCAAGAACTGCAAGCCGCCAGCCAGGCCATGCAAGAGCGCTACGAGGAGCAGCTGCAGCGTATGGAAGAGGCCAAGGAACAAGCACTTCATGATTTGACCGAGAGTTGGGAGGTTCGTGTGCCACGCTTCGAGTATTTTGTGTTGTATTTCACTCCGCTATGGTTGACTTGATCCGTTCTTCGTTTGGCTCATCGCTCGTTGGCATTGGATGGCAAACTGCCTGCTTTGCTTGTTGTCGATTGAGAACAGAACAAACTCAAGCGTCAAACGCGCCAACTTGATACGGCAAACAGCACCGCCTCGGAGCAGCAGCGCGAGGCGGAGGAAATGATCCGCCAGATTGAGATTGATGCCGATCAGGAAATCTTGCGAATGAAGCTGCGTTACGAGAAGCAGCTCAAGGAGGAGAAGGAGACCTCTGGCCGCCTGAAGGTGCGTCGAGTATGGTTGTACTGCGGATGTACTCTTTTCATCAAGCAGCGGCCCAGGACCGTTGTGCTCGGCAGTGATGAAAAGCGCCGTTGCGTTTATTGTCGTGCTGTTGTTTTCTTTTTTTCTTTTTTCAAAGTGTCGTTCTGTCCGTGTGCTTTGGTCGCATCATGGCAACTGCCACTGTTGTTGCGGTGGTTGCTGCTACTTTCTCACCGACCTTGGCAATGTTGCGTTGCCGCTCTCTAGGGCGACAATGGCGTGCTAGGCAAGAAGCTCAAGAGCCTTCAAAAGGACATTGATGCCGAACACGTGCGTCGACGGGAGATGCAGGCCGAGCAGGACAAGCTGCATGCGCACATCCGTGCGCTCGAACGCGAGATTGCGAGCTGTAAAAAGGAAGTTGCGGAGCGTGACGAAACAATTCAGGACAAGGAGAAACGCATTTACGACCTCAAGAAGAAGAACCAGGAGTTGGAAAAGTTTAAGTTTGTTCTGGATTACAAGATCAAAGAGCTGAAGAAGCAGATGGAACCGCGTGAACAACAGATTCGCAGCATGAAGGATCAGATGGCTGCCATGGACCGCGAGCTGGCTCAATATCATGAGCAAACCACGACGCAGGATCTGCAAGCGCAGGAAATGACGTCCAAGCTACGGGCCGTGGATGGTGACGCTCAAGCCGAGCGTCGGCGCGTCACCATGATGACCAACATGCTGACCCGCATTCGGGCAGACATTCAATCTGCCATGGCTCACCTCCAAGACCCCAAGGGCCTGGTGAGCCAGGTACGACAACTGCACAAGAAGCACTGTGTCGAGGCTGCTGATTATGCCGCCCCCTTGGATGAGGATGCACAGACTGAGTACAACCGTCAACGCCAATTCTTGGAAAAAACGATTGCCAGTCTCAAAAAGAAGCTGAACAAGGGTGCGGACATGCACAAGTCAGAAATGGATCGCATTATCAAGGAGAACGTAGCCTTGATTCGCGAGATCAATTTGCTACGCAAGGAGCTGCAAACATCACAGACAGAGGTGAAGCAGCTGGAGGGCACACTCAAAACCACACGAACATTGGCAGAAATGCGAGGACAGACTCTGCCTTCCAAGGCCGACACCCTGCGCATGTCTGGTACTCTCGGCAACACAGTGACTCAGGCTCACGACGCACAGCAAATGGAGCGCATGGTTGAAATGCAGCGCGACGAGATACGGTACGAATTTTTACCCTGTCACTTTCTCCTCGCTTGGGATTGTTTTCATTTACTTTTTTGTATTTGTTTGTTTGTTTGTTTGTTTGTTGTCGTTGTCGTTGTCGTTGTCTCTGGTGCTGAGGGTTGGGGTCATTGCCCTGACAGCAACGCGCTCTAAAAACAACAAAAAAAATGCCGTCTCAGCTCACCTTCACAACTGGTGGGCGCATCCAATCAGACGACTTCGGGATGCCGTGCGTGACATGGAGCTGACGGCCTCGGTGCGGCCTGGTTCGACTGGACGACTTCCTCCTCTCGATGCGACGGCTTCATAGATGCCCATGCCTCCAGACACAACCTGGCACACATGGCACGAGGCCACTTGCACTGCTTATGAGCATTGACTGTGCAGATCCAACGTCGTTGCATCATCTTTCTCCATCCGCGTGCGCATGCGCGTGTCTGTATCTGTGCAGCTCGTCGCTTGTTTGAGCAAGTGCGTGTGCCAAAGGCCGTGTCCTTTTTTGTGGAGTTTTCTTAAGGGCCCTCGCTGGCTGTCCGTGTCAGCAATGAGTCTTCGGCCGCAGGGGCCCTTTTCCTCCTGTGCTGCTGTGACGGAACAGACTGATAGCCGATTTGTAAGCTTGGACTCTTGTGGCCCTTGCGATCCCCATTCCTCACCCATATATAATCGACGCACAAGTTTTTAGGCTCATTGGCACAATGATCAAAAAAGTTCAATTTTTTTCAATTTTGGCAAAGGCATTCGCAATGGGGGTGGTGGCTGCGATGCCATTTTGGGTGCTTTCTCCTCGACCCTAGTCGGGGCCAGCACGTGATGTCAATGCGCATCGGCTGAGCTGAGGTTATGAAAGCGATCAGGCCGCCAAGCTTGCTGAGCCCACACCTCCTCTGGAGGTGCTGGTGCATCAAGAAGTTCCTGACAGGAACGAAGAGTTGCGAACCAAGGGAAAAAAAAAAACCGGTAGGAGGCAAAAACAAAAACAAGATACAAAACGCAGGCCGTGATCAATGGCAAGTAGTTTGGTCGGCACCATGATTGCACGACAAGCACAGGGGGACTGCCATTGAGACACTCGCCCAGCAAACAAGACATGCCGGTGCGGGCTGAGTCAACAGCTGAATCACCGAGAAGAGAAAGTGTCACAAGAAGCTAGCTCTGTTGTGCGGCGTCCGCACTGCGAATGTACAGGACGTTGTTACAGCTATCGGGCCCACAAGAAGAGGCGGTGTGAGACTGAAAAGAAAAAACTGATCGCATTGTTTCCTGTACGGAGCCAAAGGCAAGGCATTGAATCTTTGTCGTACCGGATCAGAACCTCGCCAAGAGCGCCGGTCATCGATCCATCAACATACTCCTCCGTGTTCAGCAGCTAAACAGTTTGATGTGGTGGAAGAGGCAAGGGTGAGAAAACAAAGCACAAAGCGACACAAAGCGAGCCAGACCAGCTCGCCACTGCGTGGCGCGAGGAGACTGCTCTTGATCGAGCGTTAGTGCCTGCGAGTGCGGACGATGTTTGTGGTCGACCGGGGGGATAGCGGACCTGCAGGTTCATGTACTGATCCGAAGCCTTCAAAACACCCTTGTACTCCATGCCCCACTTGAGCTTGACCAAGATGGGCTTGCCGGTGAGGCCAGCCAAGAAAGGCTTGGGGTTGACGGGGACGGTGGCCTGTGAAATACGAGTGAAGCATCGATGAGATAACCCCCCCCCCAAAAAAAAAAAAAAAAAAAAATTCCGGCGTGGATCAAGCATTTGAAACAAAAACAAAACAAAACAAGCAGACGAAGAGCGGTGGGAAACGGGAGAAGCTGCATCGAATGCGATACGGCAGAGGCTGCGCTGAGCAGCCTTGTCGAGCATCGTCGAACGACGACGCACCATTCTGACGGGGAGGCGGTTGCTCAAAGCGCTTGGATGAAGTGAGATGCAGCTAGAACTAAAAAGTTGCGGCGCACAGGTTAAAGGAGGGGCACATAAAAACAAGGCGGGGCATGAGCTAGGTAAATGTCTTGAATACCACAAAGGATCAGTAGCAACAGGCACAGGTGAATCGGGATCCTGCGCTGCCGTTTCAACCAACACCACCCCAGCCATCAGCCATGGAACAGCCATCACCGTCTCTCACCCGCGATGGTAACCAAGTGTCAGTGGCCATCAAAACACGTGTTTTAAACACATTTGCTCTCTCTTCTCTGTTGTTGTGCTCTTCCTTTGTGTCTTTGCTGTTTATCTCTCTCTCTCTCTCTCTCTCTCTCTCTCTCTCTCTCTCTCTCTCTCTCTCTCTCTCTCTCTCTCTCTCTCTCTCTCTCTCTCTCTCTCTCTCTCTCTCTCTCTCTCTCTTGTTGTTGTTACATGTGGTAGTTGTGCTTTTCCTTTGTGTCTTTGCAAACCGACCAAACCAATTCAAATCTCTCTCTCTCTCTCGCTCTCTCTCTCTCTCGCTCTCTCTCGCTCTCTGTGTCTGTGTCTCTCTTCTTCTCTCTTTTTTGGAATCAGTAGGATGAGTGGTGCACATCGTCTTGTTGCGGCGGGGGTTCGCCGCCTCTCGACCTCGGCATGGCGCCAGGCCGCCACTTCGACTACGGCGCAGCCTGCCAGCCCTCTTTTGGAGACGACCAAAAAGCCTCCTTCACGCATTCGCGCCGTGTAAGAGACAATTCATTCCTGTACCAGCTCGATCATGGCTGGCCAGCTGCCTGGCTGGCTGGCCTGTCTTGCCGAGGAGAGCCGGCTGCTCTCACAGACCTCACAATGCTTGGCAATCCTTCTCATTACGCACATCAGGTTCTTTGGATTTTTGGCTGGCGTCACTACGTCCTGTGGCTTTGCCTACACGCTGCTCACGGAGGACATTGAGCGGGCCACCACGCGTCTCGATACAGGCATCTCAGCACTGGAAACCAACATGCAGAAGGTGAGCGGCCAGCATCGCATCCCATCTTGCCCAAGCCACTCTCGGATCAGCACACCAGATACGCAGACCCAGAAATGGCAGCACCACACTCAGCGGATGAGTCTGACCCTGCGTTGCTGCGTAGTTGGCAGGTGGGCTGCAGCGTATTGACAACATTGAGGCCCAGCTGGCGCAGCTTGAGGCAAGCGTGGCCTACCGTCAACAGCTTGCTGCTGTGCAAGAGAGCTTTGAACAGGAAAAGGTGAGTTGATGACACCGGCTTTTTGGACAATGTGGTTGGCCTTGATCCCTGGCCGGTACCTGGCCCGGCGCCATGACTGCACTTTGGTGCTTTATTTGGCCTGCTCCTCATGTCCCGTCGCTCTGCTGCAGGATGCCTTGGCCTCGGCCCTGGCCCAGCACAAGGCGGCTGTGTACGAAGCACAAAAGGACATGTACAAAGTCTTGGAAAGCAAGTAGGAGCATGGGGTTACTGGAGCTTCAAGGACTTGAAGGCATGTACTCAAACACGGTTTGGTTGATAAAGGGTGCCTCCCTCTTCTTTGGCCATGTCTCTTCTGCCAAGCTTCTCTTCGCCGGGCGATATGACGCGCTTTGCGCCATGGCGCAGAAATGATCGACTGAGGTACATGGGTCCAGAGGAACGGTCTTGAAACAAGGACCGGGGCCGGGGGGTTTTTTTTTAAGCAGCAAAGACAAAACCAAAATTTAGAAATATCACAATCAAAGACCGTTGGTCTCGAAATCTTCCATTCGACTCGATTAGTAGTAGCATAGCTGACACCGTTCATCGTGTGCGGTGCCTTCACTTTGGTACAAGTGTCACATGCATGTATCATTGGCCTGGCGGACGATCAGGCGCGCTCCCGGCGAAGGTAAAAAGCACGTCGGCGCAGCCTGATGCTTCACCTGGTGGTTAGTCCGAGTCCGAATCACTGCCATAACCGACAAGTCCGGCCAGAGAAGATCCAGCAGGGGTCGTGGTCGTAGCGGCAGGCGTCGGTGTTTGGGCCTTGGCTTTCTTCGTCTCGGGCTCGTTGTGTGAGGCAGGCTTGGCGCTGCGATCTTGCACAGCCGACGGCTCTTGTTCTGATTTGCGGCGGACCAGTCCGGACAAAGCCTGGTACCGACACAACATTCGCACACAGTTCGCGTCAGGGCGTTCTGGATTCTGCCACGGGACAGATAGAGACTCAGGGATCGACATTTCGAGGCCCGCGTCGCGCACCCACCTTCTTTTTCTGGGCCTTGGCGGTGATCAGTGTGGATCTTGCAACAATGCCTGGTGCTGGGTGGGATTCTCCAGTGGCGGGGGCGGCATCTGCATCAGTAGTCTCGACGGGCTTGACGGCGGCTTCTTGGGCCTTTTGGCGAAACTCTCGCAAGGCACGACCTTCCTCCTCCCAGCGCTGATCTTCGGCCTCAATCTCCTTGCGATTTAGCTCTTCAAGATAGCCATACTCCTCGTCATCCAGGCCTTGGTAGATCTGATTCTTGGGCTTGAGGGCCTCCAATCGCTCCTCCTCCTTCTGCGCCTTGTTGGCTTGAAGCTGCTCGAAGAGGGAACGGTGCTCATACGGTTGCTCGGGGCGCTCTGAGGGGAGCTCAATGGAAGTGAGAGTGTTGGACACCTTTTCAGCCAAAGCAAAGAAGCGGTGTACGTACGGAGCGGGTCACTGGGCTTGCGAATCTTTTCCCACTCTTCCTGTCGCTTCCGGCGCACCTCCTCGACCTCGTCCGCAGACACGAAGGCCTTGAACGACATGGTGTGGCATATGCTGGCTAACCGAACCACCAGTTCCACTGGCAAAGCCAAAACACTGCCGACACACCCAAAGGCACCTTGCCAAAGCTGCAATGGGAGGGGCCACACCCTTGGACTCACTCACACCCCTAGCGCGAAGCAGGGAGGCCCGATGCCGGGGGACGACGCGAGAAAACCACTTCGCCTCTCCAAGGGCGCTCGAATTGAAAATCTGACAATCTGACAATGCATGAACACGAGACCACAAGAAAGCAGAAGGTAATTCTTGTATGGACACAAGCATGATTTTTATCGTTTCAACTATTGAAATTGTGGAACCGCATGCACTTTTCTTCACGTTCCTTCATTGAGGTTTGTCTACTGTTGCTGTGTGCTGTGTGCTGTATGTGGTGTGTGGCTTGGGATCTGCATCTGCCCTGGTTGGTGCCAAACGGCAGCCACGTCCTAAAGTCGGAACCGAAAACCGCATGTCGGGTTTCAAGCGTTTCCTCTTCAGGTCTTTGGGAGGGTTGTCTCGAAAGAAGCACGATTGATCGTGGTTTCATGTCTGAGCAGCCTGGTATTCCGACGAGCACATGGCTGATGCACAATCGTCGAGCCCTCGAAAAATTCATAGCTTTCGGCGGCCATGTCTGATACGGTGTCTCGCTCCGTTGCTCTGTTGCTCGGCAGGTGTCTTACCGTAACTCCAAAGACCGCCGCAATGTCTGAGGGATTTGATATTCTCAAGCCCACCGAGGCTGACATCCAGAAGCTGCTGATGGCCAAGGTGCACTTGGGCGCTTCCAACTGCACCACCGCCATGAGCAAGTACGTGTACAAGCGCCGCTCGGATGGTGTCAACGTGATTGACCTGAACAAGACCTACGAGAAGATTGTTTTGGCCGCTCGCATCATCGCTGCCGTCGACTCTCCCGCCAACGTCTGCGCCATCTCCGGCCGCAACTTTGGTCAGCGTGCCATCCTCAAGTTCTGCAACCACATTGGTGGCGCTTTCCCCATTGCTGGTCGCTTCACCCCCGGTGCCTTCACCAACCAGATCCAGAAGGCCTTCCAGGAGCCCCGTCTGCTCGTCTTGACCGACCCCCTTGTCGACCACCAGGCCGTCCGTGAGGCCTCGTACGTCAACATCCCCATCATCTCGCTCTGCGACGTTGATGCTCCTCTGCGTTACGTGGACGTTGTCATCCCCTGCAACAACAAGTCCCCCCACGCCATTGGTATCGTCTGGTGGATGCTTGCCCGTGAGGTCCTCCGCCTCCGCGGCACCCTCCCCCGCGATGCCGAGTGGGACGTCATGCCCGATCTGTACTTCTTCCGTGACCCTGAAGAGATCAAGAAGGAGGAGGAGGCCGCCGCCGCCGCCAAGGAGGCTGAGGATGACACCGGCTACACCACCCAGTGGGATGATGCTGCCGTGACCGTCGATGCCACCGTTGACCCTGCTGCCGCCGCCGCTGCTGCCGCCGCCGCTGCTGGCATCACCTCCATTGGTGGTGGTCAGCTCGACGCCGACTGGTCTGCTACCGGCACCGGCAACTTCGCCGCTGCCCCCGCTGATGGCAACTGGGGCGCCACCACCGGTGGTGACTGGGCTGCTGCCGGCGGTGAGGAGTGGACCAACTAAGCAGTTTCCTCTCTTGGCTTAAACCTAGCACCTACTGGCTTGCTCTGGCTGCGGCCATCACCAATTCACTTCTGTGATGAGAATATCATCGAGAAAATCAACTTGAGCTCTTTTCTCTCTTCACACACACACACACACACACACGTTTACATATATCCGATACACCCCCTTTTTGCAGTATGAATTATCCAGCTGTCGAGTACATAACATTTTTATTCTATTGTATCACTCAATTCCGCATGTACTGGAGACACTCGCGTCCAACCATGACATGTACAGAGGGAGCGCAGGCGGACATGCACAAGCATAAACTCGACGCAAAGGCCAGACGACCGCTTTGCTCAACAGGTTGTTCAGTGCTAGTTGCGCAATGTTCGCCGCGAACGTCTGGCCCGTTTCCGAGCCGGTGCGCCGTCATCATCGGCATCATCTTCAGAGCCGAAGGAGCTTTCGTGATCATCCTCCGAGGCATCGTCTTCTTCGTAGTGATCGTCGTCCTCCTCCTCTTCAACGTCGTCCTCCTCATCCTCATCCTCATCACTTGAATGACCCCATTGAGGCCTTCGCCGAGCAGGCCGGCCTCGCCCCCTGCCACGCCCGCTGCCACCACGGGCGCCGCGCCGCGCTGACCGACCACGCCCGCGTCTGCTACCACTTGCGCCAGCGCTGGCTTGATCAAGGCGATCTTCCAGGTGAGTCATGAAAGAGTCGTAAAACCTTTCATGCACTTTCATCAACGTCTGACGAACACCTTCATCCCCACGAGCTCGGTACCAGGCCAAAACAACAAGGGATCTCACACGCGTATAGAGCGCTCGCCAACCACGCAGTTGACCAGTCTCCAGCTCGCGCAAAACCTCCTGCAGCGGCAGCATTTCTTCAGGTACAGGCGCCGCTGCTACACCCCGGCCCCGATGAGGTGTAGCAACACGCTGCATCTGTATCAGCTCCCGAATCATGGCCACCGTGTCAGACACGGGAAATGGACCGTGCGCATCCACTTGGGACGCCTGCTGCAAGATTGGATTGACAAAAGTGTTGGCGACCCGAAAGCGCGTGCGTCGCTCCAGTTCTTGCACCAGCAAACCCAAAAGTCTATCGCGAGAACAAACACACACCGCGCATCGAGAGCCATAATAAGCAACAGATCTGTACCATCTATTTCACTGTATAGTTGTACAAAAGTCAATGAGTCAGTGCGAGTCAAACGTACCGTTCAGCAGCGCAGCTAAAGTCAGTCGTGGCTTCGTTGAAGCGTAGGGCATTTGCAAATACGCGCACGGCATCGTTGGCGAAAGATCGCAGCGTGCGATACTCTCCGGCTGCAAGGCGCTCTGCCACGGCTTGCAACCAAAGGGGCTGCCCAATCTTTTCGACATAGGCGGGGTACCACTCGGCCTGCTCGTCCAGAGGCATGACAAACTCTGCAGCGTCCTCCTGTTGTTGCAAGACGTCCAAGATGGCTTGACAATCGGCTCGCAGCGCCGCCGTCATGCGCTCCCCGCCTCCCTGATACAGCACGGTGCCCAAATGCTCGCGTTGTAGCTCATTAAATCGTGCCTCCATGGCCGTCAGATCGCTGACAAATCTAAAGGCGTGTCGCGGGCCCAGCAGGAAGGCCGAAAGGATGTGAGATGCAAGACTGTGTCGTGAGAAAGCATCCGGCCATAAGCGGGAGGGCTGGGGCGGCAAGGTCAATCAACAGAGGGTGAGTGGCAGAAACACAAAGCAAAAAGAATTCGCATATCATACCCTGGGTTGAACATGTTGTAGCAGAACGCGTTTTCCAGCAAGTGCTGAATCGCTCGCACGTAATCCTCTGCTGTCTGGTATTGCTTGTTGACAAGGTTGTCTTCAATCTCCCGGAGACAAATGGGCTGCTCAACAAAGTCGGTGTAGTCTTCGAGCACGTTTGGATCAACGGGATCTAGCAAGAATTCGGTAACCTCTACCTCACACAATTTGTGATGGATGGTGAGGCAACACTGCCGCCAACTATCTGAGTGGGTTCGTGCCCCTCGAATAGTCTTCGCTGAAGTATCTGCAGCGGCTTCTTCGCTGGGCGACAAAGTCGCGGCATGAAATGCCTTGCCCCTGGGCTCGTCAGTTGCACGTGCCTCTGCCTTGACGTGAGCACTAGATGTCGACAGGCGACGGGCTACTCGGCCCCGTCCCGATGAAGTGCGCCGCCCACCACGACCACGACCGCGGGCCGTGCCTGAACTGGCAGTGGGGCCCGCGTTGCTGGATGGCCGACGTCGTGCCGGAGAAGCGGTGTTGGACACATCACGTGACGGTACGCGAGGGTGGGCGCCGCTCGCCGCCTCGTTCTCCTCGGCCACCAAAGCCTGCAGATGGGCCAATTCCGCCGCCTCAAACGGAGGATTTTGCACCTCGGGACACTGATGAATGACATCAAGCAAATCCGGTTCTGTCAAACAACCAATTGCGATACGAAAAGTGAGCAGGCTATGGGCGCCTAGGCGAGTGAGTGGGAAGGCGCATGTACCAAGGACCTGACCGTTCACAACGCGACGCAGCACAGTTTGAATGATTTCAGCTGCGCGCACGATTGCACTCGTGCGTTGATTGAAGATGATTGTGTTGGTGGTCATCAACTCTACATCCCACATGATGGCTTCCGCACGGCGATAGAAACCGTTGGCCAGTCGCTGCTCGATCATTCCCAAATCGATCGGATAAGCAATCTAAGCTCAGACAATCAGGTTTGCATGCGTGCGGATGGAGTGAAGTGGTGCAAGAAGCTCACAGGGAGATCTGAGTGGGTCAACACCAAGGAACTGGATCCAGACGTACGGTTTTGCAATAGTTTGGATAAGTCTCAAAGGGTACCTTCACCTTGTGCCACCACCCCACGGTGCTCCGGCGAATCGTCGTGACGGCAGCCAAAACACGCGACCGTGTGCTCTCTTCAAGCTGGTGGTCGCGATGGAAGGCGACGTTGTCATCCTTGGTCGGCATGCGGCGGATCAAAGCAGGTAGAGGGCGCACTGACTCGCCATCGCCATCCACGGCCAGCTCCAAACTCTCTGGAGGCGGCTCAAAGTTGGCATCGTCGGGGGCCAATGGTGTCATCTCCCATGGATTCAGCCGTTCATCTGGCCATGCTTCTCCGGTGCCATCAACATCCCAGCGTACCACGCAGCAGCGCCATGGGCTGTCCGGAAAACGCTGCGGGTCACTTGGACTCACTTCAAGCACTGTGCCATACCACTGCTCGCCATCGATGGTTGCCGAGAACCTATGACCTGGTTGCCATTGAGTGGCCACGGCATTCTCGTAGCGACCACGCAGAACGACAAAGTCCGGAATATCCTCTGTATAGGTGGGGGCAGTCAGGATCGTTCCAAAGGTTCAACGATATAATGAGCCTGAGAATACCTTGCATGCCTGCCTGACGACTAGCTCGGGCAAGTGATTGCGCATGCACACATACCCAGATCACACCAACGAAAGGAGAAAAAGTCTTGGCGGCCTCCATCGCCGGCGCCGCCTTCGATGCGGACGCGCGCGACAGCGACAGCGGGCGGATAGCTTTCGAACCCAAGATTCTCGATGGTGCACATTTCCAACGAGCGCAGCTCGCGCCGAGCCCAAGGCGGCCGCGTTGCGCTGGGTACAAAATAATATCGTGAGAAGTAATCGGTTCAAAGGCGTCAAAGGGAGGCAGGCAGGCAGGCAGGCAGGCAGAGCGGTGGTCATAAAAGATATGGCGCGTCGTGCTGGGATCGCGGAGTGCTCGCGCTCGGCCCCATTGCTGAAAACAAACCTTGTGTTGAACCAGCCCGTTTCTTGAGCGGCTTGCAAGTACTCTTCGTGCCCTTGGCGGATCCAAACGATCTGATCATGGACCTGTGGCAAGTAAGGACTGTCGAGCGTCACGCTGCAAATCCAAGCTGAAGGCAGATAGTCTTCCAGAGGAATCGGGCCACGACGATAGGCCCGCATGCTTTTGCTCTTGCGCGAGTTCCGATCGCGCGCGCCTGCATCACGTGAGCTTTGCGCTGTCGCAGCAGAGGAGGCAGAGCGCCTGCCCCTCGCCTCTTCTTGTTCCTCCATATCCTCTTCATCAGAATTGCTGTCATCATCATACGCGTGGCGACGACGCAGCAAGCGACCACGCGAGCTAGTCGTGGCGCGCTGCGCCGATCGACGATGCATGGCCTCCATGGCCTCCCAGTCGGAGTAGTCAGAGTCTGACTCGGAAGTGGCATGCTCTGACTCGACATAATCTTCGTCCTGTTCGTCAAGCTGTTGGTCGAGTCGTTCATAATCGCGCTGAAGCTCGTTTTGAAATTCTTGGTCACGTTGTTCGCGGCGCTGGCGGCGCTCTTCAGCAGTGAGGCGTGGACGAGCAGCACTACCCATGTTTTCAACGGGTTGACTTGAGCCCATGCCCTCATGAGCAGTGAGTGCCGTCATCTCGGCGGGCTGTCGCAGAGTAACCTTTGTGGCCTGTAAAAGTTGCGCTTCGCTGGCATGGCGTTGAGAACTGAGTCGTCTGGCTACTTGACTGGCCAGCACCGTGGATTGCCTAGGCTGCAGGCGACTCAAAACGGTGGAATGATCCTGGAGTTCCTCCGGATATGGAAAAGTATCCCGTGATACTAAGCGGTGGGCCACGACGTTGACAGGCACATGCGCCAGGTCATCCAAGATCACTCCCTCGGGTGTTCTAATTGAGGCAAATCGGACATGGCAAGGAGTGCAGATGAAATTTTGCTGCGGCGAGGATGCTTGCTCGACAACGACAATGGTTGGCACAAGCAATGGCGATGCACATACTCAATAAAGCCGTGAAACTCATAATCAAGAAACTGGGAAGCTGGAGGTGCCGGGACGTTCTCTGCCCGCGGCCGTCGTTGACTGAAACAGGAGAGCCCTCCCCATACATCAAGCGCCCATATTTGGTGCCCACGGGGATGGACCTGCGTGATCATAATGTCAACCGGCTGAAGCTGACCCTCAAACTCGTGGCGAACCTGCATTTCTGCTAGCTTGACGCCGTCAGCCACGTTCCAGATGACGAGGCGACCATCATGGCCCGCAGAGACGAGAACATGGGCTTGCGTTGGATGGCACACTAGGCCCGTCACTTCAAAGGTGTGGGCTTGAATTTTGTGACGCCGCTCCAAGGTGCGACTGTCCCACACCAGAAGGTGTGACACAGCCGGTTCCAAGGCGCGATTCACAAAGACAGCGGCTGCATACCTGCCATCGCTTGTCCAGGCTCCCCAGTTCATGCACACTTTCTTGGTGCCCGATGCAAAGGGTGTGTCAAGCCGGCGAGGACACCAGCCATCCTGATAGCGGCGCAAAAACACCTGGGCGTCGTTTCCTCCTGAGATGACGGCCGTTGCATCGGGGCAAAAGGCCACAAACTCCACAGTCGAATCATGAGCCACATCCTCGTGTACAAGTTCCACGTGTTGACGCTCGTCATGAATACGGTAAATCTAAGGGTGGCCAACAACATGGTGGTGGTCTGAGCGCAAGATGCTGGAGAAAGATCAAGAGGTCCTTGCAATAAACCGCCGCCCGTGGGTTGGCTCGCGCAAGAATAAACGTGGACTTGCCAACCTCTGCAGGTACGGGCCTACCTGGACCGCAGCGTTGGTCAGGGCGGCAGCAAAAAGGTTACCGCCAGGAGAAAAGCAACCAAACTGAAGACAACATTCGCAACTTCCAGGCCGGCACCGGCACTTATAGTGCACACCAGATCGTGTCGGGAGGCGCGCTGAGAAGGAGAGGATGGCGCGGAACATGACGGAAGTGTTTGCATCGGCCACTTCGTCATACGTCCAAAAGGTAATGGAAGAATCCTACAGTGATACAAAAACGGCACGTTGTTGTCTGAGATGGATTCCGCAGCGTGGCTTCCTTCGTTGCTTGCTGAATTTGAACAAAGCACTAAAAGCGCTGACGAGCAGACATACTTTGGCAGCCGTCACTAGAAGGCGGCTGTCAGCGTTGGGGCTAAAATGCACGCCACAGATGGCACCGCGGTGCGGCTGGTGTGTTTCGATACACACGCCCTTGTGGAGGTCCCAGATGCGCAAGACCTGAGGTGTAAACAAGAAGCACAGGATGTGACCATGAGGCCCCGCAGAAGGAAAAAAAAATAAATAAATAAAATAAAATAAAAGCTCAAAAGCAGGTTGAGATTCCAAGAGATTGATGCACACGGCGACATGTAAGCACGCGGCAGCATGTCATGGGACTTACTCCCGCCATATCACCACTGGCCAAATAGCGACCTGTGGCGTCTACGCTAAGATCGGAGAGTTCGCTCTTGTGGCCACGCAGGGTGGCAAGCAATCGGGAGTCGGCACTGCGCCACACTTTGATGTTGCTATCATCAGCCCCCTATCCAGATCAATGGATACGCCAGAAGAGCAAAAGCATCCACCATATCCATGACCGATGAAGCGGCGATCACATCAAGATCAAGCCAAGGGGCTCTACGTACCGTGATGACAATGCCTGCGGAAGGCTCTACCTCGAGGCAATAGCCTGTCCGGCCGTGCCCTATGACCGTACTTGTCTGCACACACGCCAAGTCGAACCCCCGCATGACAGATGGCAGCACCAAATAATGGTCACATGAGGTCTGAGATCGAGAATCCCTTGTTCGTGGCAACATTGCACATGCAATATTTGAGGCATGTTGAGCAGAGCCGGGCGTGCTTGCTGGAACTTACAGTTGTCCAATCAGCAAACTGGGTTGGTAAGGGTAAGCTGCGGGGCGGGCCCAGTCGAGCGCAGCGCCGTTGCGCGAAAACCGCAGCCACTACGCATATAGATTGCGCGATTTATAGCAGAATTTCAAAGCATAGCATGAGGGATGGGGTGTGAGAGAAGGCGTGGGTGAGGCGGCTGTCCACATTGCGTCAATGGCGGGCTTTTTCCTCGCATCCGCAGCTGTGTCGGAACAGACAAGACCCCTCTTTTTTTAAAAGCATCTGTAACTTCGCCCACAACGTACACGTGCTGCATGGGCGTTTGCGTTGAACATGTCGGTCTCGGCGCATGGCCTACGCGGCGGAGAGGTTTGCTTGACTCGTCAACATCAGTGATCCCAGACAAAAGATCTCGGGGCGTAGTCACTGAACGGACCTGAAAGAGACGATGATGATGTCCTTCCAAGAGATTTGACAAGAGACGCGAAGACATTGGCGGACCCGCTTCTTTACGTCGCTGGTGAAAGCACCACAGAAGCAAGAGGGCGAGGATCAGTTTGAGTGAATTGGCACGCAAATTCCTGGGCAGAAGCTACACACCGCATCTGCATAAGACAGGTGACGCCGTGCACCAGTATAGTCGTACTCGCGCAAGCCGCGCTACGAATGGAGCAGAGAGAAAAGAAGCTGTGCGTTATTTGTGCGACTTTGACGAGCGTACGACGGAAGGGACGATCACGTACGTCAAAAGAGTTGACCTCCTGTTGAAGGCTATGGAAGGCCTTTGTAAAAGGAGTATTCTCCAGATATTGGAGAATGGCGTGCAACACCACCTCTAATTATGGGTAAGCAAGTACGCATGCGAGTGAGCATGGCAAGCCACGCGAACAGGTGACACTGCCAGAGAGGCCGAGGCATGGCAATGACAGTCACTGACACCACGGCGAGCAGCAGAAGTAGGGTCGTCAAACCAACCTTCAGACAAATCAGCCGTCGTTGTGTGGGCGCGCTGAGTGAGGCGGCTGTCCAAGGATGCACTCGTTTCCGGTTCGGATGTGGCTGCACCGCCAACATCAGGGCTGGCTGCGGAGATGGTGGAGAGATTCACCGAACCCAGTTCTGGGGTCATGGCGGCGGAGCCGGGCGCAGGGGGATCGAGATCCATGGCGCTAGCTGAGAAATGCCTGGTCGCCAAAAAAGGGCAGTTGCCCCTGCCCCTTCAAGCAGTGATCGAGGGCACTTTGACCAGCCAAGAGCCACCCGCATCCAGCGTTAGAGCGGGCAGGATGGGGACAACCGCAGCAAGGGCTGCTCCAAATTCAGGTCATGGGGCAGTGTAGGTGGCCTCAAAAGGCTCTTCTACTCGCGCACTCCTTTTGAAAGTTGAATTGCGGCAGTCGGCTTCTGTGCAATGAGCGTTCGGTCACGAGCGATATCCGCCTGCGCTCCAGATGGCCGAGGCGTCAGGGCTCGCTCGCCTGTTCGTCGGCTCGCTCAGATGTACACACAAAGAATAATGAAGAAGAAGAAGAAGAAGGGTGAGGCTTGTAACGGCTAGCCATTGAAAGTATTTTACTTTTTATTCTTTTTGTGGCCGTTGCGGTTTTTATTCTCTATTTTTAGAATATCTACTTTTTCTCTCTCTCTCTCTCTCTCTCTCTCTCTCTCTCTCTCTCTCTCTCTCTCTCTCTCTCTCTCTCTCTCTCTCTCTCTCTCTCTCTCTCTCTCTCTCTCTCTCTCTCTCTCTCTCTCTCTCTCTCTCTCTCTCTCTCTCTCTCT